TTCAGGAGGAGGAGGAAGAAGAAGAAAGAAGAAGAAGAAGAAGAAGAAGAAGAAGAAGAAGAAGAAGAAGGTGGCAGCTGTGAACAGGTGAGTGAGGTCCGACGCTGGGCGGTAAAAGGAGCAAACAGAAGGTTTATTGTCTCCTCTAAATCAGACTTTGGGTTAGTTACTGAAGTCACCGGTTCACAACAGGAGGTCCCCCCCCGGTCTAAAACCTAGTGTGTGTAGTTTCTGCCACTAGGGGTAAGAAAAGGAAGCTGATGATCGCCGGCCTGGTGCAACGCCGTCGCCGCGTGCCATGAATTGTTGTCGTCCACGTCCTGGCGTCATGTCGCCAGTCCAGCTTCTCCCGGCTTAGGACTTCCCCTTCAGTGTTCATGGTTCAGGAGGTTCTTACCGGACCCCAATTATCCACAAGTCTCCTCCTCCTCCAAAACAAACAGACAGTGCTGAATTAAACCACTAACACCACTGAATAAAAGCAGTTCCACCTTAAAACGCTGTTGGGCAGGGATGTAAAGAAATATTGAAAAATATCGTATGGCCATATTTTATTTAGCGACTTTGTAAAACAGTGTATTGATTTCTGTGGTTAGACCTCCAACAGCTGACAGTAGTAAACGGATGCACTGCTCTGGTTAACTTCTTTTAAACTCGTTCTTTACGCTACGACAGTTTTCCTTAAATATTACAATATATCTTCTTGCTTACAGTTTTCAATACATTGAACCGTAACCTCGCCAGCTACTGTTGGGCTGCGGGCCGAGCTGCTGCTAACGTTAGCTCTGACCACCACCAAAGAACCACGAAGATCTGAACAGTGGATGGATAACAGCTAACAGGTCCTGTTAATGCTAATGATTATAGATTATTGATTTAACGTCTTCATTCTCTCTCTCTCTCTTCTCCACAGAGCTCTCTCGCCCTGATTGCCTTGTGTGTCCCGACTGGTTGATTAATCGATCACCTTCCTGTGACGTACCGCCATGTCGTCAAACATCAACATCTCCCTGGAGAACCCGTACGGCGATGTGACCATTCCCCGGGCCAAGCTCCGCCCCTCCGACGACATCGCCACAGTGATAGCCAATCCGATGGCTCTCAGCAGTAACGACGAGAACCCATACGGCGTGTCCAGCTCCGCCCCCCCACCGCCATACGTGGTGAAGGAAGCCGGAGGGGAGGAGGAGGAGGGGAGGAGCCGCGTCTGCTGCTACCGCTGCAGGAGGAGGAAGTGATGTCACAGCGACAGGAGGACTGTGATTGGCTAGGATTTATTTATTTCCTGTTTCCTTCCTTTCACCGAGGAAACAACAAAGGAAACAAGGAAGCAACTGAGGAAGAAAGAATGAACAGAGAAATAAATGAAGGAAAGGTCATGCAGTTGTTTCCTCAGTGGCGGCCATTTTGTGTCTCTAATCAGCTCAAAATTAAAAAACTTGAAGCTTCCTGTTGGAGTTTAAACATACTGAGTGTGTGAGCAGTCAGCGGAACCCGAGACGGAGACAGGCAGTAAAACTCCGTCCTGTGTCGGACCTGAACCCGAGGAGACATTTAAAAGACTTTCTTTTGCCACCAGACTCCATTAATAAAATAAAAACATTGATTTGAGCTCAGTTAGCAGCTAGCTCAGTTAGCAGTTAGCAGTAGCGGTAAGCTAACAGTTGAGGCAGGAAAAAACAGTAAATATATTTTTATAAAACAAAAACGAACTAATCACTTCCTGTCCTCCATCTGCCACCACAACAGTGACCTGGCTTCATCTTCATCTTCATCATAAATATAAAATCAGATTTGTAACATACAAAATGGCCGCCACTGAATTGTGACACCCATTAATGTTAATTTCTCTGCTGATGAAACGCTTTGATGCAATTTCAGAGATATTAGAATAAATATTCAGTTGTTATTGATTCATTATTGATTCAGATTTTTCATCAGGAAACATTTTGGAAATTATTTTAAATGAGTGTAAAATGAAATGTTTTTGTATAAAGTTTATAAATTTATGAAAACAGATTTTAGATTTTTGTTTATGATCATTTTATGAACACATTCTGCTAACGAACAACTTGTGAGGGGAGATGTTTTTGTACTTTATATATATTTTATATTTTAGCCACTGTTTCAGAAGAAATTATTATTTGTTTCAGGAAGTGTTGCAAAGTTTCCATAAAGTATTTATATTTTTTCATAACAATGACTTTGAACATTTTAGTATGAAGGAGTTTTAAAGTATAAATGCAAGAAAAAGTCTCTTTAGAAAATAATATGTGGAATCAAATGTGTTAATTGATATTGTTTGGTGTCACTGGGGATCATTATTGTATTAAACATATTAACACCATCTACTACCCATGATTCATTACTCATAACTATTTTACATGCAAACACTGACACTGAAACTCTTTAAATCAGAATTATTTAAATAATCACATCATATATCTGAGTTCTACTTGTGTTTTAGTTTATGATAATATAATAAATTTTTACAGCAATATTAATGTCTATATACTATATATATATATGGTAGTTTAGTATATATGTATATGTCTTTGTCTGTCCGTCTGTCTGTCGCTAGGCAACCTGGTCAGTCCACACTGAGCTGTAACCTGATAGGCCAACAGCAGCAGCCAATAGAAACCTGAGAGCAGGTCCACTTTCTATCGGCTGATCAGATTACAGATGAAATTGATTCTTTAACCTGCTGAACAATATTTCAATATGATTTAACTTAATATTATATTAAGTTGTATTGAATGTATTCTTTCCAGTTATTGATAAGTTATTAATTAATGTTAAACTGTGAAATCTGAATGTTTATTGTTGATATTTGTTTGCTCGTTGGACTGTTTTTATTCAACTTATAAACTGAATTTATTGTATCGACTGATATAATACTATGTTTCTATCAATAATAACAATTTTCTGTCACCCAGCTTCCGTCGGCCGAGAGAGGCTGAATTATTGATGAAGCTCTCTCTCTCTCTCTCTCTGGCTTCAGAGAGACAGAAGAACGGTTAGAACGAACAAACTGAGAAGAAGAGATAACCACAAAGAAGAAATAACAACAACAAAGAAAAACTGAAGGAATTTAAAGAGTGAAAGACAAAAGGAGAAGGAATAAAAGATCAAAAGAGGATGAGAGGAGACTGAAAACTGGAATAAAAGACGAAGAAGAAGAAATGAGAAACAATAAGAGTGGGCAGGATAGATAAACAAGAAGAAGAAAAAGAGAGGGAATAAAAAGGAGGAAGAGGAGATGTGATGTGAAGAAACAGGAAGAACAACAAGGTAAGTTTCTGTTTCCTTTCGAAATCTGACCAATCAGAGTGCAGCAGGTAAAGATCTGTTATAAAATCGTCTGATTGGGCGATTTCTATCAACACGAACAGGAAGTACCGTTAGCTTTGTACCGCTACATCATTTATTGGCTAAAACCAACAGAATCAGAATACATAAGTTAGTATCATGGATCACGTTAGCTAGGGAAGCTAACATTAGCCAACTAATATAACCTTTCAGGTAGTATTTAGCTAGCAATAACGTTAGCAATCAATCTAAAACTATCCAGGCACGCTGATTAATGTTATCCGGCGCCAGCCGACAATGTAGCCTGAACAGCCCCAGGAATCTGGATGAAGCTAGCTGACGTTAACTGCTTGCACTGCAGGCGGCTGGTGATGTCACCAAAAACTGTACGCATCATCACTGAGCAGCAACCACTGCAGTTCCTCTGACGGCCACTGGAGGCTGCCAATCAATATTAACATCTATCAATATTCTTCCAATGATTCCAACTCTTTCTCTTGTCATCAGGAGAAAATGTCTGACGACATAAAAAAAGAAGAGGAAGAGGAAGTGACCTGTCAGCCACTTCCCCCACCTCCCCCCTCTGTTGCCATGGAGACGATGATGTCACTGAGGAGGCAAGACCTGGTGTGCATCGTGTGCTTTGGCAGCTACGACCTGGCTACACGGTTACCACGGCGACTGCACTGCGGCCACGCCTTCTGCCAGGCGTGTCTGAAGAGATTGGACACGGTCATCAACGAACAGGTGACATCATCACCACTCACCTGAGAGCACAAATACTGCAACATTCAGAGCACAAATACTGCGACATTCTGAGTACAAATACTGCGACATTAAGAGCACAAATACTGCGACATACAGAGCACAAATACTGCGACAGACAGTACAAATACTGCGACATTCAGAGCACAAATACTGCGACATACAGAGCACAAATACTGCAACATTAAGAGCACAAAAACTGCAACATTCAGAGTACAAATACTGCGACAGACAGTACAAATACTGCGACATTCAGAGCCCAAATACTGCGACATTCAGAGCCCAAATACTGCGACATTAAGAGCACAAAAACTGCAACATTCAGAGTACAAATACTGCAGCATTCAGAGTACAAATACTGCGACATTCAGAGTACAAATACTGCGACATTCAGAGCACAAATACTGCGACATTCAGAGCACAAATACTGCGACAGACAGTACAAATACTGCGACATTCAGAGCCCAAATACTGCGACAATCAGAGCCCAAATACTGCGACATT